TATGAGCTTGGTGGGGGGGGTGCTGTAACAGGGAGTCGATATACCGCGTTTTAATTAATTTTTGTTCGTCAGTCTCGCGATTACGGCCGTCGCGGCTCATTGCGGTTACGTCCGTGTGCGGCTCATCGCGGTCACGTCCGTCGCGGCTCATCGCGGTCACGTCCGTCGCGGCTCCTCGCGGTTACGTCCGATGCGGCTCCTCGCGGTCACGTCCGTCGCAGCTCCTCGTGGTTACGTCCGTCGCGACTCATTGCGATCACGTCCGTCGCAGGTCCTCGCCGTCACGTCCGTCGCGGCTCCTCGCCGTCACGTCCGTCGTAGCTCATCGCGATCACGTCCGTCGCAGCTCCTCGCCGTCACGTCCGTCGCAGCTCCTCGCCGTCACGTCCGTCGCAGGTCCTCGCGATCACGTCCGATGCGGCTCCTCGCCGTCACGTCCGTCGCAGCTCCTCGCGATCACGTCCGTCACTATAAGGAGTTCACTTCATATTCCGGAACAACTAATATATTTTTTTCCGTTCGTGTAAAACACATATCCGGACACTGGACACTTGTACCAGCTCTGTCTCTCAGGTGAGCGAAAGGCTGAGACACTTTACAGGTGTCTCAAAGACACACGTGTCCTCCGTCAGGTGTCCCAATGACACATGTATCCACGTCTTGTTTGTGACTGACCCGAGCCTTGGAAGCCTCACGAATACAGCTTCACCCCGACACTAATAATATGCAGAAGTTATACAGCTTCACGTTATGACAAAAGCTTTTTCTCATATAATGGGAAGGGGAAGGGAGAGGGGAAGGGCTGGGAGGACACCCATTACATGGAAGCTGCAACAACAACATGCACCTCGCACCACATATTCCGTGCACATGACAAGCCCAACATGATGGGCTTGTCAACATTACACCACTACAATTCACTTGGATGTGTGTGGGGGGGGGGGTATACCTCATTCATAACCCCTCATATATTATAGGACGAATGGGGGTGATATAGCCAGAGGTGCCCTAACCTCTATACAATAGCAATTGTTACAATTGTATAGCAATTATTACTTTGCACACAATTTATCGGAATTGATTAGAAGCTGATGATTGTGAGCGATGATTGTCAGCGCGGGAGAACGGTTGTCACAACCAGGTTCCGTTGCTTGCGTTTGCTAGTCAACTGGTTGACTGGTTTACTGGCTGACTGGCAAGACGGGCGGGCAGGCAGGCAGGCAGGCAGGCAGGCAGGCAGGCAGGCAGGCAGGCAGGCAGGCAGGCAGGCAGGCAGGCGGGCAGGCGGGCAGGCGGGCAGGCGGGCAGGCGGGCAGGCGGGCAGGCAAGCAGGCAAGCAGGCAAGCAGGCAAGCAGGCAGGCAGGCAGGCAGGCAGGCAGGCAGGCAGGCAGGCGGGCAGCCAGCCAGGCAGCCAGGCAGCCAGGCAGCAAACCATCCAACCAGCTAGATAGATCCATCAAGAGGACTATGACCTATAACTCCCACCCTCAGACCATAAGATCACTTCCAGCCAGCCTACAACCCCCTTCAGACCTTAACAAGATCACTTTAAGACACTTCACACAAGACGTTGGCCGTACACTTTATAGAAATACCTTCCAGGAAATGTGTTTGGTCGCCTCGTCTGTCCTCATTAGCGGCACTTCCCGGCTCTCCCAAGCTCAGAGAGGACATTGCAAGAAAGGAAGTAGTACACCAAGCACCTGGCATACGTCAACTGGAGTCCCGTGAAAGCCGATTATTTTCGCCTTGAACGAAGTGTGGCACCGAACGCGGACCTTGGGAGAGACTTGCGTGGATGTAGTAGGCAGAGGAACTTATACCAACCTCCCCTAGATAAAACTGTCTACGTCTCAATCATGTCCTCACACTCTACAGTCTATTTGCCGGCACTCTAAGAACAGGTCTTTGCCGCCGCCTGTCGTCACATATAGTTCAGGGACAAGGTTTAATGCTAGTCTCTAGACCTTCTGCCTTGTCCCGTTATTTGTTACGTGAGGACGCGTCGTTAGCACTGATTTAACATTGTCCTGGTCTTCTCTCAGTGGGACCAGGAGACAACAACATTGAAGAGAGAACTCTCAGTGGGACCAGGAGACAACACAGTGATGAGAGAACTCTCAGTGGGACCAGGAGACAACAACACAGTGAAGAGAGAACTCTCAGTGGGACCAGGAGACAACAACACAGTGAAGAGAGAACTCTCAGTGGGACCAGGAGACAACAACACAGTGAAGAGAGAACTCTCAGTGGGACCAGGAGACAACAACACAGTGAAGAGAGAACTCTCAGTGGGACCAGGAGACAACAACACAGTGATGAGAGAACTCTCAGTGGGACCAGGAGACAACAACACAGTGAAGAGAGAACTCTCAGTGGGACCAGGAGACAACAACACAGTGAAGAGAGAACTCTCAGTGGGACCAGGAGACAACAACATTGAAGAGAGAACTCTCAGTGGGACCAGGAGACAACAACACAGTGAAGAGAGAACTCTCAGTGGGACCAGGAGACAACAACACAGTGAAGAGAGAACTCTCAGTGGGACCAGGAGACAACAACACAGTGATGAGAGAACTCTCAGTGGGACCAGGAGACAACAACACAGTGAAGAGAGAACTCTCAGTGGGACCAGGAGACAAGACCACAGTGAAAAGAGAACTCTCAGTGGGACCAGGAGACAAGACCACAGTGAAAAGAGAACTCTCAGGGGAGTTCAGGGGACTGAAGGATGCAAATGGATTAGAGAATACAACATGAGGAATACTAATAAAGAAGCCAAATTAGCACAAAACAAGACAGTTGAAACAAAGTTGAATAAGTTTAGATTTATAACAAGCCTGGGCATAAATACTGCTTTGAAAATAGGATTGCAGATTGATGGAACAAAATGTCAGGTTAAATAGTAGGCATTCTTGAGGTTATCTTGAGGTTATCTTGAGATGGTTTCGGGGCTTTAGTGTTCCCGCGGCCCGGTCCTCGACCAGGCCTCCACCCCCAGGAAGCAGCCCGTGACAGCTGACTAACACCCAGGTACCTATTTACTGCTAGGTAACAGGGGCATTCAGGGTGAAAGAAACTTTGCCCATTTGTTTCTGCCTCGTGCGGGAATCGAACCCGCGCCACAGAATTACGAGTCCTGCGCGCTATCCACCAGGCTACGAGGCCATTGAGTCGCTTGAATGTTCACAGTCAGCTCCCTAAATATGTCAGTGAACTTGGTTGAATATAAGTTGCAACTGTCTTGCCTGGGCCAATATGCCAAGTGACATATTCCTTAATTCTAAAGCACTTTTATTCCTGCAGGTATTTACAGTCACAAACGCTTTGGCTGTTTAAAAAATCCACATTCTGCTCACTCTTGGGAATGCTGTCTAACCTGTAGCATTCTGGAATTAAATCAGTTCAAAATGAAGGATTTATGTTCACTAAATCCGTACAGATATGCAGGCGATGAGTCACAATAACGTGGCTAAAGTAAGTTGACCAGACCACACACTAGAAGGTGAAGGGACGACGACGTTTCGGTCCATCCTGGACCATTCTCAGGTCGATTCTCACGACAGGGACAGGGACGACGAAACGTCGTCCCTGTCCCTTCACCTTCTAGTGTGTGGTCTGGTCAACATACTTCAGCCACGTTATTGTGACTCATCGCCTGCAATACAGGCCTTTAATTTGGTGCTCTGCCTGTCTGTATTTTAGCAGTATTGGCTGTTTTCTTACTATCCAGCAGCTTACCTGTTTCCGGCGCCAGGTGGTGATTTTTCTCAAATGGCCTAAAGTAGGCATCAAATCCTCTTGTCTCACCCAAGATGAGATCTTGCCTGGGCCCATGGCATTTAATATATTGAATTCTATTAAGCATTTCTTGACTAGGGAATATTTAACTTATCTTACCCACTGGCGGACCCAACTGCTTCAGCAATGGGAGCCGGTCGGCCGAGCGGACAGCACGCTGGACTTGTGATCCTGTAGTCCCGGGTTCGATCCCGGGCACCGGCGAGACACAATGGGCAGAGTTTCTTTCACCCTATGCCCCTGTTACCTAGCAGTAAAATAGGTACCTGGGTGTTAGTCAGCTGTCACGGGCTGCTTCCTGGGGGTGGAGGCCTGGTCGAGGACCGGGCCGCGGGGACACTAAAGCCCCGAAATCATCTCAAGATAACCTCAAGAATGGTCTTGTTCTTGAGAACACATATTGGAATATTGCTTTTGCTTCGACGCGAATATTTTCAAGTGTATTTGTGCGCATATTCTTGTTCTCTTAGTTTATTTGCGAACGTGTCTTTGAACGCCGACCTTACCTAACCATCTTAGTATGTTAAGATAAGCATCTTATTGCTTCGTAATTACAATTATTACTTAACCTATACCTATAATTGGTTAAGTAATAATTGTAATTACGAAGTAATAAGATGCTTATCTTAACATACTAAGAAGGTTAGGTAAGGTCGGTGATTTCTATGAAGCTTTTCAAGGTAAACTAAAATATTCACAATAAATTAGTATGTCACATATGCACTTATTTAATAAGTCAATATTGACTTAAAGAAAGTGCGAGAACGGGTTGCAGACCAAGTGGTTGGGCAGGCAGAGAGAGGGAAGATATAACATTCATCACATTCGTATAATAATACATCTTCAGAAGGAGTATATTAATACATCTTTGACCCCTTCTGAAGATGTATTAATATACGAAAGTACTTAAGGAAATTCCTGTTTCAATTTTCCTCCGTGGTCTGACACTGTCACATTTTTAATCACGTGTTTATTTTCGTGATATACACACATTCATCACATTATTTATCATCACAACAACAAAACTCTTCTAGTATGATCTTCAAAGCAAAGAAAAAACATAAAAAAAACACATTAGAATTAGTTTTCAAAATCAGCTACTAATTTTTTTCCTTTTTTTCTTTTTTTTTACATTTTGAAAGTTTATAATTAAAAAATTCCCCGCTGAGCGCTTAATTACGCACAGGGAATACTTTCATTACGATGTAATTGGCACAACTTTATCTGTCGTGTCTGCTTTAAGGTAACCTGTCGTGTCTGCTCTAAGGTAACCTGTCGTGTCTGCTCTAAGGTAGCCTGTCGTGTCTGCTCTAAGGTAGCCTGTCGTGTCTGCTCTAAGGTAACCTGTCGTGCGTACTCTAAGGTAACCTGTCGTGTCTGCTCTAAGGTAACCTGTCGTGCGTACTCTAAGGTAACCTGTCGTGTCTGCTCTAAGGTAACCTGCCGTGTCTGCTTTAAGGTAACCTGTCGTGTCTGCTTTAAGGTAACCTGTCGTGTCTGCTCTAAGGTAACCTGTCGTGCGTACTCTAAGGTAACCTGTCGTGTCTGCTCTAAGGTAACCTGCCGTGTCTGCTTTAAGGTAACCTGTCGTGTCTGCTTTAAGGTAACCTGTCGTGTCTGCTCTAAGGTAACCTGTCGTGTCTGCTCTAAGGTAACCTGTCGTGTCTGCTCTAAGGTAACCTGTCGTGTCTGCTTTAAGGTAACCTGTCGTGTCTGCTCTAAGGTAACCTGTCGTGTCTGGTCCAAGGTAACCTGTCGTGTCTGCTCTAAGGTAACCTGTCGTGTATGCTCTAAGGTAACCTGTCGTGTCTGGTCCAAGGTAACCTGTCGTGTATGCTCTAAGGTAACCTGTCGTGTCTGCTCTAAGGTAGCCTGTCGTGTCTGGTTCAAGGTAACCTGTCGTGTCTGGTCCAAGGTAACCTGTCGTGTCTGCTCTAAGGTAACCTGTCGTGTATGCTCTAAGGTAACCTGTCGTGTCTGCTCTAAGGTAACCTGTCGTGTATGCTCTAAGGTAGCCTGTCGTGTCTGCTCTAAGGTAACCTGTCGTGTATGCTCTAAGGTAGCCTGTCGTGTCTGCTTTAAGGTAACCTGTCGTGTATGCTCTAAGGTAACCTGTCGTGTCTGCTCTAAGGTAACCTGTCGTGTCTGGTCCAAGGTAACCTGTCGTGTCTGCTCTAAGGTAACCTGTCGTGTCTGCTCTAAGGTAACCTGTCGTGTCTGCTCTAAGGTAACCTGTCGTGTCTGCTCTAAGGTAACCTGTCGTGCGTACTCTAAGGTAGCCTGTCGTGTCTGCTTTAAGGTAACCTGTCGTGTCTGCTCTAAGGTAACCTGTCGTGTCTGCTCTAAGGTAACCTGTCGTGTCTGCTCTAAGGTAACCTGTCATGTCTGCTCTAAGGTAACCTGTCGTGTCTGCTGTAAGATAACTTGTCGTGTCTGCTCTAAGGTAACCTGTCGTGTATGCTCTAAGGTAGCCTGTCGTGTCTGCTTTAAGGTAACCTGTCGTGTCTGGTCCAAGGTAACCTGTCGTGTATGCTTTAAGGTAACCTGTCGTGTCTGCTCTAAGGTAACCTGCCGTGTATGCTTTAAGGTAACCTGTCGTGTCTGCTCTAAGGTAACCTGTCGTGTATGCTCTAAGGTAGCCTGTCGTGCGTACTCTAAGGTAGCCTGTCGTGTCTGCTTTAAGGTAACCTGTCGTGTCTGGTCCAAGGTAACCTGTCGTGTATGCTTTAAGGTAACCTGTCGTGTCTGCTCTAAGGTAACCTGCCGTGTATGCTTTAAGGTAACCTGTCGTGTCTGCTCTAAGGTAACCTGTCGTGTATGCTCTAAGGTAGCCTGTCGTGCGTACTCTAAGGTAGCCTGTCGTGTCTGCTTTAAGGTAACCTGTCGTGTCTGGTCCAAGGTAACCTGTCGTGTATGCTTTAAGGTAACCTGTCGTGTCTGCTCTAAGGTAACCTGCCGTGTATGCTTTAAGGTAACCTGTCGTGTCTGCTCTAAGGTAACCTGTCGTGTATGCTCTAAGGTAGCCTGTCGTGCGTACTCTAAGGTAGCCTGTCGTGTCTGCTTTAAGGTAACCTGTCGTGTCTGCTCTAAGGTAACCTGTCGTGTATGCTCTAAGGTAGCCTGTCGTGCGTACTCTAAGGTAGCCTGTCGTGTCTGCTTTAAGGTAACCTGTCGTGTCTGCTCTAAGGTAACCTGTCGTGTATGCTCTAAGGTAGCCTGTCGTGCGTACTCTAAGGTAGCCTGTCGTGTCTGCTTTAAGGTAACCTGTCGTGTCTGCTCTAAGGTAACCTGTCGTGTATGTTCTAAGGTAGCCTGTCGTGCCTACTCTAAGGTAGCCTGTCGTGCCTACTCTAAGGTAGCCTGTCGTGTCTGCTTTAAGGTAACCTGTCGTGTCTGCTCTAAGGTAACCTGTCGTGTATGCTCTAAGGTAACCTGCCGTGTATGCTTTAAGGTAACCTGTCGTGTCTGCTCTAACGTAGCCTGTCGTGTCTGCTTCAAGGTAACCTGTCGTGTCTGCTCTAAGGTAACCTGTCGTGTATGCTCTAAGGTAACCTGTCGTGTATGCTTTAAGGTAACCTGTCGTGTCTGCTCTAAGGTAGCCTGTCGTGTCTGGTCCAAGGTAACCTGTCGTGTCTGCTCTAAGGTAACCTGTCGTGTCTGGTCCAAGGTAACCTGTCGTGTCTGGTCCAAGGTAACCTGTTGTGTCTGCTCTAAGGTAGCCTGTCGTGTCTGGTCCAAGGTAACCTGTTGTGTCTGCTCTAAGGTTGCCTGTCGTGTCTGGTGCAAGGTAACCTGTCGTGTCTGGTCCAAGGTAACCTGTCGTGTCTGCTCTAAGGTAACCTGTCGTGTCTGCTCTAAGGTAGCCTGTCGTGTCTGGTCCAAGGTAACCTGTCGTGTCTGGTCCAAGGTAACCTGTCGTGTCTGCTCTAAGGTAGCCTGTCGTGTCTGCTCTAAGGTAACCTGTCGTGTCTGCTCGAAGGTAGCCTGTCGTGTCTGCTCTAAGAAAACCTGTCATGTCTGCTCTAAGGTAACCTGTCGTGTCTGCTGTAAGATAACTTGTCGTGTCTGCTCTAAGGTAGCCTGTCGTGTATGCTCTAAGGTAACCTGTCGTGTCTGCTCTAAGGTAGCCTGTCGTGTCTGCTCTAAGGTAACCTGTCGTGTCTGCTCTAAGGCAACCTGTCGTGTATGCTCTAAGGTAACCTGTCGTGTCTGGTCCAAGGTAACCCGTCGTGTCTGGTCCAAGGTAACCTGTCGTGTCTGCTCTAAGGTAGCCTGTCGTGTCTACTCTAAGAAAACCTGTCATGTCTGCTCTAAGGTAACCTGTCATGTCTGCTCTAAGGTAACCTGTCGTGTCTGCTGTAAGATAACTTGTCGTGTCTGCTCTAAGGTAGCCTGTCGTGTCTGCTTTAAGGTAACCTGTCGTGTCTGCTTTAAGGTAACCTGTCGTGTCTGCTTTAAGGTAACCTGTCGTGTCTGCTCTATGGTAACCTGTCGTGTCTGCTCTAAGGTAACCTGTCGTGTCTGCTCTAAGGTAACCTGTCGTGTCTGCTCTAAGGTAGCCTGTCGTATCTGCTCTAAGGTAGCCTGTCGTGTCTGCTCTAAGGTAACCTGTCGTGTCTGCTCTAAGGTAACCTGTCGTGTCTGCTGTAAGATAACTTGTCGTGTCTGCTCTAAGGTAGCCTGTCGTGTCTGCTTTAAGGTAACCTGTCGTGTCTGCTTTAAGGTAACCTGTCGTGTCTGCTTTAAGGTAACCTGTCGTGTCTGCTCTAAGGTAACCTGTCGTGTCTGCTCTAAGGTAACCTGTCGTGTCTGCTCTAAGGTAACCTGTCGTGTCTGCTCTAAGGTAGCCTGTCGTGTCTGCTCTAAGGTAGCCTGTCGTATCTGCTCTAAGGTAGCCTGTCGTGTCTGCTCTAAGGTAACCTGTCGTGTCTGCTCTAAGGTAGCCTGTCGTGTCTGCTCCAAGGTAACCTGTCGTATCTGCTCTAAGGTAGCCTGTCGTGTCTGCTCTAAGGTAATCTGTCGTGTCTGCTCTAAGATAACCTGCCGTGTCTGCTCTAAGGTAGCCTGTCGTATCTGCTCTAAGGTAGCCTGTCGTGTCTGCTCCAAGGTAACCTGTCGTCAACCACAGTGTCGTACGTACACTGAGACACTGTCGTGCATACATACCTACACTGTCCTTTTACAAGCATTCATACATCCGTCCAGGTGTATACTTACCTTTCAGTACATATTTCGCTAACATACACACAATACACACACCAACATACACCTTAAATACCCCCGCATACACCAATCACCATAACAAACTGGATGGTTCATCAATGTAAATCTGCCAATCACTTCAATTAAAATTTCGTTGGATATAAATACAGAATACAGTAACTCTATTCGCGGTAAATAGCGAATTTTTGTTTTAAATTAAATTTTCATGTTTTTTGATGACATTGTTTTCAAAACAAGCAACTTCAAGTGAATTATATAAATCAAAAAAAACTTTGCTTGTAAACTACACGAGCGAACGGGTGTTTTGATTAGTCGCGGGTGTTTGGTCAGAGCAGGTGTCAATACAATTGTATCATCAAATACACGCTGTTGTATAATTTTTTTTAGGTCAAAATGTCATTCACACTTGATCTTCATGCACGTTATACACACAGATGTATTCTGTGTCTCTGTATATTCACTCTAAGATAATATAAGATAAGATAAGATATCTTATATCCTATAAGATAATAATAGGGAAGAACGGGGAACCAATGGTGAGGGAACACTACTGACCAATGGTGCAGTGTTACAACACTATATACCAGTGTTGCTTAAAGTTAAAAGTACTAGAAGAATAACTGAAGACCCGTCACATACTCAGGCAAATCACAATTCAAAACAGAAGTAATGTGAACAACGGGAATGGCATTTTCAACAGATTTTACACAGGTAATGAACAACAGGAATGGTATTTTCAACAGATTTTACACAGGTAATGAACAACAGGAATGGTATTTTCAACAGATTTTACACAGGTGAGGAATTACCTGATGGCAAGAGTACAAGCCTCGGGCCAGGCTTGGGGAGTAGAAGAACTCCCAGAACCCCATCAAGCAGGTATCAAGTCACTGTGAGAGAAGCAGAGTCAAAAGGAAGCGAGGATCAGCGTGTGTCATAAGGCTCGGTTTTGGGAGAATTTGTCTTGTTTTATGCTACTACGGCCAAAGTATTACAAGCAGAAAATTTATGTTAATTTTCCCGAGTGAATAATGATGTATTACTAAGATTTTTATTTCAGTATTTATAATATTTAGCTAGGTGTAGCTGGCAGGCAGGACTAAAAATTACGTCGGATGGTCGGACGTCGTTCGACCGTCCAACCATAAGGTAAAAACTTGTTTAAAAAAATTTTGCTTTTCATTAACTTTTCACGCAAAAAATTTTGCTTTTCATTAACTTTTCACGCAAGATGTCATATTCGCATTTTTTTTTTTAACTTTTAATTTCTCAGGACAATGATGAGAAATTCTAAACTATAAACTTGCTACTTTAACACATAATACATCAATGTTTCTGAATTAAACAAATCCACAAGGGCCGTGACGAGGATTCGAACCTACGTCGGAGATCATCCCAGACGCTGCCTTAATCGACTGAGCTACGACATGGTCAAAGGAAAGAGTTGAAACCAGAAGTTCTACTGAACGTACTTGGATCCTGCAGCCTCTCCGAGACACAAACTAGGTTACTATTGTGATTTCTGTGTTTCTGAAATAATTCTGATAATTAATATTATTACTAAAAAGAACATTGACGGCCATTTAACAAATTAGCAACAAGCTACGAGCAATATATTAATTATTAAGGCATTCCTGCTTGCGTCGAATGAGGAGGAAGAACAAGGAGGCCTATCTGGCCAAGAACCGGGCCGCGGGGACGCTAAGCCCCGAAACCATCTCAAGATAGCCTCGAGGTAGGACCGCCCCTTCTGATTGGCCATCTCAAGCCGGCTCTTCCCAGGTCTCAGATTCGATTGCGACATAATTTCTTGACGACACAACCTATTAAGAGAAGCAATGATTACTGCGTAGCCTCGTACGGTAATCTTCCAGAGGTTCCTGTCGTGTGTTTATGCCACACAATATCAATCACTCTAAAAGTAACTCTTATTCATTCACTCTAAAAAGTAACTATAGTGTTTCATCGTTGCAACTGTTGAAAATGAATAACTTGATCTATCGGGTAATTGCAATTTTTAATGCCGGGTCAAATTATTGCAGAATCATTACACTGATGAAATTAACTATTTTTTTAAATTGATTAAGAGCCTAAGGCTTAATTGTTATTTGTTGAGAGGCTTTTAGTGAACGACTTACTTTCACATCTGTTGCAGATTACTGATAGAGTACTGTAACCTATCAAGCCATTAAGAACATGACAAAATATCTTACACATCTCTTCAAATAAACACTAAACGTATATATATATATATATATATATATATATATATATATATATATATATATATCTAGAAGGGGTACCACCTCTGGTGCAAATGTAGGGACCCATAGCCTCGGAGAAGAAAATAAAGAGTACTCAGAGAAGACCTTGTGGATCCTCACTGAACACTTTGATATTTTCTTCTCCTACCACCCCTATTCTTTTGTTAAGTGTGTATATTTATCTAACTTTATTTGAAAATGTCATTACACAAAAAAAGTTACAATATTGATTACATACAGGGTACAAGGCTGCTTGTCACAAGTTGAATAGCTCCTCCAGCTCCTCAGATGGCGGGCAGGAACCGTGGATGCAGTGAGCATTTCCTCTCTGGATTGCCACACTAAGGCGCTGAAAAAGAAAACTGGCAGCTCTGGGGTCTCTTGTTGTTTCGATTAGCTTAGACCCCAACTCCTTTAAAAAGCTAGCAGCACTTTTACCCCAGGCACCAAGTGTCTCTGAGGCAATGGGGACAAAATTGTAGTGGTGCTCAAGGTCTCTGTATTTACGTGACTTGGCCGCTTCCCGGTGATTGGCAGCTCCTCCTGCTTGTGTAGCACTGAAGTCAACATAGGTACTGGCCAAAGTTGAAACGCAAGTGTAGTCCCACACCAACTGTCTACCATTCTTCCAGGGGTTCACCGTAATTCCGTCTGGGCGACCGACAGGCTCATCAGAGTTATATATATATATATATATATATATATATATATATATATATATATATATATATATATATATATATATATATATATATATGGTGATTGTAAGCAACAAATGAATGAAAACAATCGCGTCCAGATTAAATCAGAGTTCTAATTTGTCACTGAAATTGCAGTGTCAACACCAATGATTTTTTGTATTCAGAACCTGTCGAGAGGCGGGTCAAAATAATATGGATTTTTAGGTCTATTTTTTCCTCTCTCCGCCCATGCATAGAAATGGACATTTAAATTGAATAAACCAAGCTGGTAACTTGCAGAATGATTCCATCTTGCTTGTTTGTAGAAACAGGAGGATTGTGAATGTGTGTGTGTGTGTGTGTGTGTGTGTGTGTGTGTGTGTGTGTGTGTGTGTGTGTGTGTGTGTGTGTGTGTGTGTGTGTGTGTGTGTGTGTACTCACCTAGTTCTCACCTAGTTGTGTTTGCGGGGGCTGAGCTCTGGCTCTTTGGTCCCGCCTCTCAACCGTGTGTGTGTGTGTGTGTGTGTGTGTGTGTGTGTGTGTGTGTGTGTGTGTGTGTGTACTCACCTAGTTCTCACCTAGTTGTGTTTGCGGGGGCTGAGCTCTGGCTCTTTGGTCCCGCCTCTCAACCGTGTGTGTGTGTGTGTGTGTGTGTGTGTGTGTGTGTGTGTGTGTGTGTGTGTGTGTGTGTGTGTGTGTGTGTGTGTGTGTGTGTCTAACAGCAATGTGAATCAAACCACTACCCCTGTACCACCACTTAAATTACAGGCAACTAAGCCCCCCAAACACCCGAAGCCTCTCTCACAGAACTGCCTATGAACCCCATGCTCAATACTATCCACAGAACCATTCCCAGATATCACAGAACCTCGCTATATATATATATTTGGACCCTGTTCATACGGACTAATAACCGTATATATAAATATTCCTGGACCCACTGAGGGCTAGAGAGAGAGGCAGGCAGTAAGGGGCAGGAGCAAAAGGTATTCAATCAACCTCTGAAAGCAATTTCATACAGGAATTGAGCCGCATCGAAATATGATTCAACATATTAAATAAACTAGTGGACTGATAGGTATGGTCTCCATCCTAGTTCGAGGCTCCTTTGATTCCTGACCATTACTGGCAGTGGAGGAACCATCCTAGAGACCAGACCAATAAAGGCACCATCCTAAGAGACCAGAGAAATGAGGAACCATCCAACAGACCAGACCAATAAAGGAACCATCCTAAGAGACTAGACCAATAAAGGACCATCCTAAGAGACCAGATCAATGAGGAACCATCCTAGAGACCAGACCAATAAAGGAACCATCCTAGAGACCAGACCAATAAAGGAACCATCCTAGAGACCAGACCAATAAAGGAACCATCCTAAGAGACCAGAGAAATGAGGAACCATCCTAGAGACCAGACCAATAAAGGAACCATCCTAAGAGACCAGAGAAATGAGGAATCATCCTAAGAGACCAGATCAATGACCAAATTGGATAATTATATGGCGTTATTTATAACGAAATAAAGACATTGTGTTAACCTACTGCGGAAAAGAAAGCAGTAGCGAGTGAAAGCAGCAACGGAAGTACCAACGAATGAAAAGAGGTAAAACATTGACGAATGAAAACACTAAAAAAAGCACAATCGAAATACATTAATAAAGAGAGAACTATCTATAATGATACCTTTACAGAGAGGACTAGCGAAAGAAAGCAATTAAGAAAGCCCGAGCGATTGAAAGCTACAAAAACACTAACGAATGAAAGCAATAAAGAAAGCAAGAAAACACTAAATACAGGTGCCAGCAGCAACACAAACACAAGAGATGCATCACGTGAGGAGAAAAACACACCAGAAACAAACACACCAGAAACACACACCAGAAACACACCAGAAGCACACACTAGAAACACACACACCAGAAACACACCCCAGAAACACACACCAGAAACACACACCAGAAACACACACCAGAAGCACACACCAGAAACACACCCCAGAAACACACACCAGAAACACCACGTAACACACCACCAACATTAACGAAGCCCCGTCCATTTTTCCCCCCGATTATAAACATTAAAAATAATTTGAGGTTCCTCGCCCACCAAGACTGAGGTGACGAGTGAGGCGAGAAAAGAATTATATGAGTCCCTGAAAAATATATTAAGTTGTATATACATTTTCATGCATAAAAAACTCGTAACACGTGAAACTTGCCATTAAAAAAGTGAATAATTGTTGATTAGAAATTCGCACGATGCATCCTAACTCCATTAATTCACTGCATAATAGCTGTCTGGTCTGAATAGGGCTGACAGGATTGATATATATGGATAAAAAGTGTGTTAAGCGGACTCATTATAGAACATATACATTTAATATAAGCGTATAGCTTATATAGTTTCAGTTTGACAATCAGAGCTCAACTCCACAGTTTCCTGAGACTGATAGATGTCCACTACTACTTCTATTACAACTTGTGGTCAGATACTAACCCCTAGAACCCAAACACCAGTCGCTCAAGGGTTGAAAGGCGAGGCCCAAGAGCCGTGGTTCATCCCTCAGAAATTCAGCTATAGGTCAGATGTTCCTATAGCCAGAAGAGCCCGGGAAGACATGATCACCGCATACAAAATTCTCAGGGGAATTGACAGGGTAGACAAGAATGGGATTATTTAACAAGGGTGGTACACTCACAAGGGGACACAGGTGGAAACTGAGTACACAAATGAGCCACAGAGACATTAGAAAGAACCTTTTCAGT